ACAAGACAAAGAAGCAAAGTGGGTCCAACCAAGTAGCTCAGCAGAGTAAAGCTCCTGCAAGCAGGCACAGGGGTCAAGGGTTTGATCCCCAGGCCTGCCATGCCAGCCCTGCCCCCAGGGCACACTGAGATGGCAATTGAGACTCGGCATGGTGGTGTGCACCTGGAATCCCAGCTCTTGGGAGGCTGTAAACAGGTGGATCACTACAAGTCTGATCTAGTAGTGAGACCCTGAACACCCTGTAGACCCTTCCATACAATACAAAAAAAAGAGAATAAAATGAATAGGAAAATAATTAGACAAAAGAAGCAAAATGCAATCCCAAATTCCCACCCTATCCAGGACAAGTCCAGAACATAAAGAAACAGAGGAAATTACAATCCACCCAATGGAGGTCCCTGAAATGAGAGCAGTGAAAGTGAAAAATGAATGCAGAAAGCCATAGACAAAATAATCTGTAAGATGCAAGGAAAAAATGATCAAAATGAAAGTCATTAAAGCAAACAGAAAAATAAGTAGAACAACTCAGCAAAATCATGAATACACTGAATCCCAACATAGAAAAGGAAAAGAATCAATGAAACAGATCCAAACTGAAATCCAGATTAAAATAGTCCTATGAAAATATATGAAACAGGCTAAATAAAAGCAAGGTTAGAATATCAGCTCTAGAAGACGGGATTGTGACTAGCAACCAAGGAAAGAATTATCTCTTCAAAATAACAAGAAATGATAATGTAACAATTGAGCAGCTGTTGGACGATGCAAAGAAATCATTGGGTGTCTTCAATGAACTAAGCCCTGAACAATGGGGAAACTTATGTAACCAAAATAGGCAGAGTCCTTGTCCTTGTAGAAGTTTCATTGTGGCCTGGAAAAGGGGTTTAAAATTAAGAGTGATACAGGTGGTATGAGACTATTCAGTTGGATAGCTTGATGAGTATGCCAAAGAAAATAACAAAAAGAGACAAATGTCTGAACATAAAAAAAGAGTAATGAAGAGATCTGATTGTACAATAGTTGTCAAGGAGTCTTCCAAAAAACATTGAACAAGAATGTTCTCCCACACAGTACAAATCCTGGTGTGTTCCAGTAGCTGAGAAAAAACATGGAAAGCTAAATTAGAATAAAGATATCAGGGAGAAGATGAGCTAGGTTGGACAGGAAGGCAGGACCCTAAAGGTTATGGTAAACTTCATGCTATATTGTATTATAAGAGAAGCCACCGTATCAAAGTTTAAAGGATAGGAGTAGCATGATAATGTTTAAATTTAAAGAAAAGACTGCCCCTAAGTTGAACATACGCATAAGATGGGTAAGAATAAATGCAGAGCCCATATAGGAAATTGAGTAAATTCAGTAGTTGCATGATTATAGATGTGAAATCAGAAAAGTTGGACTATTTAAGATGCAGAATATTTGAGAGAGAGCTAGAATTGAGAGAATTTGATGGCTGGTACATTTTCCTTCAAATAGCTCTAACTTATCCTGTATGGCACAGTATCATTCTAATGTGTATAAGTACCAAATTTTCTTCATCGATTTATCTGTCAATGCATGTTTAGGCTGCTTCCAAGATTTGATTATTATACATTGTGCTCCTTTAAACATAGGCGTGATGTATCACTATAGTATGATGTCTTCAACATTTTTGAAAATACATTTTGCACAGGGTCTCACTATGTAGCATCAACTGGTAGTGATTCTCCTGTTTTCAGCCTCCCTAGCGCTGGAATTACAGGCATGCAACACCACGCCTGGTCTTGATGGACAGCTCAGCATGCCGAGGGGTGGAGCCAGTGTGACATGTGGTACCAGGGATCAAATCCCAGTCCCTGCACTTGCCTAAGCAGGAGATTAGTCCACTGAGCTATCTCATCTGCCCTTTCTTCAACACTCTTTGTAAAGGTACATAGAAAGTATATAGCTGGGTTGAAAGAAATTTCTACATTTAGTATTTTGAGGAATCTCCATACTGATCTCCATAGTGGTTATTTACACTGCTACCAACAACAGTAGCAGTGTTGTTCCTTTTACCCCACAACCTCACAAGCATTTGTTATTTGTTTTATTAAATATAGCCATTCTTTTGGAAGATGCAAGCTCAGTGATGTTTTGATTTGTATATCCCAAGTACTCATTGATATTAAATATTTTCATGTATTTATTGGTTGTAGTGATTCTTCTGAGAAGTCTCTACATTTCAGATACCATTTATTTATTTATATATCTATTTATTATTCATTTTCTTTATTTTATTTTATTGAGAAACAAATAGCAATGAGACAGTTTCAAAACTGATTAATAGGACATTTTTAATAATACATTGCACATTGTTATCTTCTTAGTGGTTATCTAAGTATATCCTGTCCAAACACTATTAGTACAAATCTTTCTTCTCATTGAATTAAGGGAAAGTAGGTGTATATCTATCCTAACTATTCTATATATACAAATACAAAATAGTCCTTCCTTTGTATCCCCTTTTTTTGTTTAGTCCTGTCAGAGATGGGTATTCCATTGGCATCTAAATACTATAGGTGTGTGAATTCAGCAAAACAATCCAACACAGTCCAGCAGTCCACAATAGTAGTGGGTTATCTGCAGAAGTTGTTGACCTGAGCCTTTCACGGCTCAGCATATTAATATGGCTTTACTTTATATACCTCATTTTTATACTTTTCTGCTGGATGGTTAAGACCAAGATAAAGCAAGACCTATATAACAAGAAATATAACTTATTTATCTGATAAGGTCAGAAGAGTACCCTCAGCATTTATCCTGTAACCCTGTACTGCAGTTCGCAGATCCTTTGTCAGTGTCAACCATGTGGATGAGTCATGGCCATTGCTTGACCAATTTGCTCTCTGTGAAAGCCTGAGAGAATGTTTTCTGTCCATGTGACTCTCCTTAGGCACACTCTACATCATCAATCAGGTTGCTCTGTGGCCCCATAATCTCCTTGATCAGAAAATGTTGGACACAACTGAGTTACATGATGTTACAGTATGGGTTCTCCTGTGTCCTGAGTTCTCACTGACTTTGAAAGGCTAGGGTCAAAATGTTGGCTGTCCTTGCAGCTCTTCTATTTCTCTAATTTTTGTTCTGTTAACTTAGGTTGTTAACCCTCCAGAAGAGAAGCTTATTATTACCCTACAACATATGCATTGGGTTTAACCTCACTATCAGTCTGAATATCAAACATCTTAGGCATAACATGGAACAGTATTTTCCATCAAGTATTTATATGCTAAACTTTAAGTCCCTACAGAATATGGAGATAAAAATTTAAGAAATGAAAAATATTTAAAGAATATGAAAAAAAAGAATATGAACAAACATTTACATATTTTTACACAGAAATTTAGAAATCTAACCATATACAGTATTATAGCAGGACAGTCTTGTGACTTTTTTTTCTTGTGTCTATTTTTCATTTATTACCCTTTTTTAAAACAAACAAACTTTTACTTGAGAGACAGTATGGTAATAATTGGTATGTCGTGACAAGAAGTACGTATTTAGAAGACCAGAATGACAGGCATTCCAAGCATGACCCTTCTATTACACATTGCTATCTTCAGTGCAATTTCTTGGTTCACAGGTATCAGCATATATAGTTAGTCACAGTGAGAATCCTACCAATTAACTGCTAGTTCCAAAAACCTTCTGATGTTTCTTATGATCATTGCCTTACCCATCTTTTGCATATAAATATATGGTTTTACCCCTGTCATGTATCCCAGCTTTTCTCCTTGCCCTCTCCGCATTGTCCAATCCTCAAGTTCTCACTTTCCTTTTAATTGTGTTAATATTTTCTATTTGTATTTCTTCTTTTGAGTTCTTATATGAGGGAGACTATACAATATTTACACATGTGGGTCTGGTTTATTTCACTTATAAGTATATCTTCAAGTGGCATCCACTTAAATATAAATGCTTCAAATTTATCATTCTTTATAACTGACTAATACTCCATTGTATAAAAATACCACATCTTTTTCAACCATTCTTCATGTGACGGGCATCTTGGTTGTTTCCAAGATTTGGCTATCACAAATCGTGTTGCTATAAACAAAAGCTGTGTGTGTGTGTGTGTGTGTGTGTTACTGGGATTGAACTCAGGACCCTGCATTTGCCAGGCAAGCGCTTATTCTTCTGAGCTATCTCCCCTGCCCCTACTCATTTTCTTTTTGAGACGGGGTTTTTCAAAGCAGTTCTGGCTGTCCTGGTACTCACTTTTTAGCTGAGGCTAACATTCAACTCATAGTGATCCTCCAGCCTCAGCCTCCCAGGTACTGGGATTATAGGCATGTGCCACCATGTCCAGCCATCCATTACTTACCGTATATTTAAATTCAGTGGCTATAACAATTTTGAGTTTGTCATACATTTGAGTTCCTGGCTGAATGAATACCTATCAAAATTTTTCCCATTCCATAGGTTGTAGCTTCACTCTTTTGCTGATTTTGTTTGCTATGCATGGGTTTTTTAATTTGATGCAATATCACTGGTTCAAACTTGCATTATTTCTTGTGCAACTTAGGTTCTGATCATTAAGTCTTTTTTTTTTATTTTATTTATTTGTGTGTGTGTGTGCGCGTGTGTGTGTGGCCAGCTCAGCCCACCAGGGGGCGGGCTGGCTGGCATGTGGTGCTGGGGATTGAACTGTGGTCCCTGTGCTTTACTGAGCTTGTTCTAAGTAGGTGCTTTAGACCACTGAGCCTTCTCACCAGCCCCTGATCTTTAAGTCTTCATCGATACTAATTCTTCAAAAGTTTTTATTGTGTCTATCAGCAGGTTACATAATTAATGTTTCATTATTTAGATCTTGCATATAATTTGGTTATAGTTTCATCCATGGTAAATGATATCAGTCTTTCTCATGTGGAAAGCCAGTTTTCCCAGCACTAGTTGCTAAACAGGCAATCTTTCCTTCAAAAAAAGCTTTTGGCTACTTATCAAAAACAAAGTAGAGTGTGCGTGGGCGGGCTGTCCTGGGCGCCGCTTCCAGCAGCTGAGTGCCTGTGGGAGCCGGGGCGGCAGTGCCAGAGGTGCTCCGGACTGAGTCCTCGTGTAATGTTCAAGCCCAGAAACGCCTTGTGTGGATCGTCAGAATCGCATCTGTGATTTTCTAGATATTAAAAAAAATGAAAACAGTGGGAAATTTCTTCAACAGTTCCTCATACTGGATACCAGAGAAGATAGTTTTGTGTGGTACATGGATAATCCACAGAACCGACCTTCTGGGTCATCACGTGTTGGAGCCATTAAACTTACCTACATTTCAAAGGTTAGCGATGCAACGAAGCTAAAGCCAAAAGCTGAGTTCTGTTTTGTTATGAATGCAGGAATGAGGAAATACTTCTTACAAGCCAATGATCAGCAAGACCTAGTAGAATGGGTGAATGTCTTGAACAAAGCTCTAAAAATTATAGTGCCAAAGCAGCCAGATTCACAGCCCAGTTCTGATAACCTCCATCACCAAGGTGAATGTGGGAAAAAGCAAGTGTCTTACAGAATGGATATTGTTGGTGGTGTGTCCATCATTACTCCAACTCAGAAAGAAGTAGTAAATGAAGTTGGTGAAAGTACTGACAAAAATCAATTGAAAAGGTCACAAAGCCATCTTCCTTATTTTACTCCTAAACCACCTCCAGACAGTGCAGTTGTCAAAGCTGAATATTGTGTGAAACAAGGAGCAGTGATGAAAAACTGGAAGAGAAGATATTTTCAGTTGGATGAAAATACAATAGGCTACTTCAAATCTGAACTGGTATGTTGCTACATCAAAAGAGTTGCTTTACAAATGCTTGAGAAGTGTTTCATTCTGCTGAGGTATCATTTTATGCCATCGAGTTATGAGGATTGAGTTTACTTTGTTGTGGTGCTTTTAAACAGAAGCACTTTCTTTAAAAAGGTAGCATCTTCTAAGAGGCATTCTACCTTAAAAGATCTAAAATTATCAGTTCCTTCCCATCCACAAATTTTCTTTAGAGGGGACACTGGAGAAATTAGCATACACATCTTTATTGTCAACATTTAACCCTTTGTATGTGTCTTTTTTTCCCTGCCTTAACATCTTCTTTTCCCATTTGATTGACTTTTTAAAAAGTGTTTAAAAATCTTAATTAATTTGGTACAGGGTCTCACTACGCAGCTCAGACTCATAGTGCTTCTCCTGTCTTGGTCTCCCCAGTGCTAGGATTACAGGCATGCACCACTACACCTGATTTTGGTGGTCTGCATGGCATGCAGTACTGGGGATCAAACCTGAATCCTTGCACTTGCCAGGCAGGTGCTTAGACTGCCAAGCTGTCTCCTCAGCCCTGGATTGACTCTTCATTTGTTCATATAAGCTGTTTTTGTCCTGTCTGAACATAGAATAGAAAAATTGAGATTCCCTGTCTCACTTGTTTGGGTAGTAGCATCCTTATGTAAAGTGTTTGGTTACCTGAGTCCTGCAGTAGGTTGTTGCATAAACTAAGACAGGTCTATACCTGTTCTTGTATGAAATAGTTGAGAGGGGAGCCATGTACCTTATTTGAATGAAGGCACCACAGTAACACTTTAATAAGGCCCGTATCCATACTGTCCAGTCCATTGCCTACATGTGGCTTTTGAATGCTGAAAATGTGGTTAGTACGACTAAGAACCTATTTCATTTTTAAAATTAATATTGAATTTATTTCATCTATGTATGTTTATGTAAAGTTAAATTTACATAAACATACATAGCTAGTAATTACTATACTGGAATGTGTAGCTCCAGAAAATAGGGAAAGGAATATTTCAGATTCATCTCAGATGTCAACTGTCCTGAGAGGTTTTGCCAGGGCAAAAGAGTACGAAGAACCAAGGTATCATAGGCAGAGCTCATGCAGAGTGAGAAGAATAGCTCAGTGTGGAATGGGGAAAAGAAGGCACACTCATGGGGAGGAGACTGATGACAGAGATGGAGAATGTTTGCAAACTACATATTGATAAAGTTTTATTGTATTGGATATTTGAAGCCAAATTTCCTGATGTCAAAGAAAAACATAATGAGGAAAAGGAGAAAGTTTTGGTTATTAGATTGGTGTGTTACTTAACTTTATGTCTGTATCTGAACTAAACAATCTAAAGGAGGAAACGTTTATTTTGCCTCACAGTTCTAGAGATTTGGTTTCATCACTTTTATGCCTGTGGTCAGTCATAAACATAGTGGAAGGGAATGTAGAGCAGAGCTGCTCACCTTCTGGCAGCCAGGAGGCAGAACAGGTGAGGGAGGTAGACACAAAGGGACCAGGAATCAGACAGCGCCCCAAGTCACTTTCCTATGAATCACTCATTTCAGCTAGGGCTCACCTCCTCTGTCTAGAACTTGCCATCAAATTATGACCTCATGTTGTGTCAATCCACTAATAAAGTTAGAACCCTCATGATCCAGTCATTTGAGAGAGAACAACTGCAACTAGGCCTTCAACGCAATGAGATTTGAGAGGGATGTTTTAGATAATCATCATAACAGTTGGAATTTGATGTGTTGATGTACTTGACATACACAGGTAGATGTAGATACAAATGTGCCTTGAGAAAAATTTTCATTTTCCACTAAGAGGAAACTGAATTTCATAGACACAAACTTCATAGATGTAGCAGATTCCAGAGCCAGGACAAGAGATATAAATGTACAATGAGCCAAGAATGTCTTGTGTTGGAAAGCAAGGACATACTCAGGAATGATAGGGACAGGTGAAAAGACCCAAAAGTCACTTTGGAAACATTTATTCCTTGCCAAATTTGGGACATGTAAGAGCATCCAAACATCAAGATAAAAAAATGATGGTAATAAATTGTAGCCACTTAATAAAGAAGGAATCCATGAGCCTATACAGACATAAATAACTATATTATGAGTGAGTGTATGTCTGTATGTTGAAGAATGAGATATTTATATAGTTGAGGAATACCTACCTACAAAATAGATTAAGTACACAAGAAAGAGTAACACTGGAGTCAAGAATGCCTGGCAGATACTTCAATCAAATAATTCAAATGAACTTCATCAGTGGTGGCAGGATTGCAGTCACTACCTAACAGAGTAGTGTGAGAAAAACACAGCATCACTTCTGAGAGTCCTGCCAAAGGTACATAGTCTGAATCTAATTGTGAGGAAACATCAGACACACCCAAATGAAGGATGCTGTATAAAATAACTCCTTGTAGTCTTTCAAAGAGTCAAAATTATGTAAGTCAAGAAAAGATTTAGGAATTGTTCCATAGTAAAGGAGAAACAGGATCATAAACAGGTAGTTTGTGATTCTGAAATTACAATTTTTCTTCTAACAAAAGACACTGGGGTCAGCTGCCTGACTTTGGAAGTGAAAATGTTTTCTTGTAGGAAATGCACAAAGGTGTTCAGTGATACTCTGGACTAGGGCAACAACTCACCCTAAAATGGCTCAGGAAAATCAAATTTTGTGCTATATTTTCAACCTTTCCATAAATTCATGATAGTTTCAAAAGTTTAAGAAGTGCTAGTTGTGGTGCATGTTTGTAATCCCAGCACCCAGAGGCTGAGGCAGGAGGATCTCTACAGTTTCAAGGCCTACCTGAGCTACAAAGGACAGGTGGAAAGACCCCAAAGTCACTCTGAAAACATTTTTCCTTCCAAATTTGGGACACATAAGAGCATCCAAAGCATGAAAATTAAAAATGATGGTAATAGATTGTAGCCACTGAATAAAATAGGAATCCATGAGACATAAGTGATTCAGTTCAGTGTAGTTCAGTTCAAGGACAGCCCGAACTACAAAACAAGACCCTGTCTAAAAAATAAAACAAAAACAATAGAAAAAAGAAATAGGAAAATAAGGGGTAGAAAAATGAAGACATGAATTGATGGTTTATTTTAAAAGAAATTAAAATGGTTTGTAAAAATGATAGTCAACATCACTCATAAATAGAGAAATACAAATTAAAACTACTGACAGTTCTTCTCATCTTCATGAAGACTGTGGCTGAGTGAAGAGACTCCTTTCCTGTAAAAGCTTCTATAAGCATCCTTATGGAAGAAAAGGAGCTAGGGCTCCTTGGAGAAATAACTGATTTCAAAGCTGGGACAGGTAAGGTACAAGCTGAACTCAGAAAATCTAGCTATGCCTAAAAATAAGTCCCTCAGCTACTATTCCACTAATGGTTTTAGGCAGGAATCTTCAATGTTTGATAAAAATTAATGGGCAAAATTATGTTGTGTAATTGAGAGTATTACATAGGATCTGAGTATTCCTCACAAGATACTTAACTCTTACAAAAGAAAAAAAGAGTAGTTTTATAGTAATTGGCAACACTAATGTTAAGCAACATACCAGGTAACGCACGAGTAATGGACCAAACCTCTGTTGTGTACAACCTAGTGATGATGCCTTAAGAACATGCTGTGATCTGCATATGGTGATTTCCTGTCAAAACCATTTAAACTGAACATTAGTATGGATAAACAGCAAATACAAATTGAGAAACATTCTGTAAAATAACTAGCCTGGACTTTTACAGCTCTTAAAAGTTTATGAGCTCTTTCAGGTCCTCCTTCCCAAGATGACAAAAAAAAAAAAAAAGGAGGAACAGTGGTTGTGCCAAAAAGGGCTGTAGTCATGTGTAGCCCATTCGCTGCATGAACTGCGCCTGGTGCATATCCAAGGGTAAGGCCATTAAGAAGTTTGTCATTCAGAACATAGTGGAGGCTGCCGCCATCAGGGACATTTCCGAAGTGAGTGTCTTCAATGGTTATGTGCTTCCCAAGCTGTATGTGAAGCTGCATTATTGTGTGAGTTGTGTCATTCATAGCAAAGTGGTCAGAAATCGATCTCGTGAAGCCTGAAAGGACTGAACTCTCCACCCCGATTTAGACCTGCTGGTGCTGCCTGACCACGACCTCCACCAAAGCTCATGGAAGGGGAGCTGGGTCTTAATGGACTGAAGAAAACTTACCTTGAGAAAGAAATAACAAATTGAATGTTACACTTTATACAGCATGTTGAGTATACCTACCAGAGGTGGGTTGGGTTAATGCAACCTATCAAAGTTTAAGTTTGCACTCTGAAAATGAATAAAGAGGAACACACTGGGTGGGGGGAAGATTATAAAAGAGAAAGACTAAAGAACTATTCCATTCTGAGGGAGACCAAGGGATATGATAGCTGAATAAAATAACATCTTTAAAACAAAATATACACTGCAATATTTAATAGTAAAGTTGCATCTATACCATGCCATATATAT